CTTCATAAAATGGTTTGGGGATTCCGTTCTTCTCGATGTTGTGGAATAGTTTCTGCAAGATAGGTACTAGTTCTCTTTTGTAAGTGTGTAAATTCGGTGTGAAACCATCTGGACCGGGACTTTTTTTTAGGGAGATTTTTAATTGCTGTTTCTATTTCAGCTCTTGAGATTGGTCTGTTCAGGAATCTATTTCTTCCGGTTGAACCTTAGGAGGCTGTGTGTTTCTAGAAATTTGTCCATTTCCTCCACATTTCCAGTTTCGTGGTGCGTAAAGATTTTTTTATTCATGATGTTATATCTTGTATCTCTTTGGATCAGTTGTGAGTATCTCCTTTTTGGTTTCTGATGGAGCTTATTAGAGATTTCTCTTTTCTGCTTTTCGTTACCTTAGCCAACGGCTTATCAATTTTGTTTATTTTTTCAAAGAACAACTTTTATGTTTTTATTAATCTCCTGAATAGCTTCCCTGTTTTCAATTTTTCATTTAGTTTGATTTGATCTTGTTGATTTCACTTCTTCTGCTGGTGTTTGGGCTGGTCTGTTCTTCTTTTTCCAGCTCTTTTAGTCGCTTCATTAGAGTGTCTGTTTGTGATCTTTTTGACTTTGGGTTATAGCATTTATGGAGATAAACTTTCCTCTCAGAACTGCTTTAGCTGTGTCCCAGAGGATTCCATAACTTGTGTCTCTCCATTGTCATTTGTTCAGAGATTTTTTATTTCTATCTTGATTTCTTCATTATGAAGTAATCATTTAGTAGGAGATTGTTTGATTTCCATGTTTTTGTGTAGAAATGTGAGTTTCTGTTACGGTTGATTTCTACTTTTATTCCACTTTGATCTGACAAGATACATGGTATGATTTCTATTTTTTTAAATTTCTTGGTATTTACTTTGTGTCCTAGGATATGGACAATATTAGAGAATGTCCCGTGTGCTGATGAGAAGAACGTATATTCAGTCGATTTTGGGTAGAATGTCCTGTAGATGTCAGTCAGACCCAATTGTTCTTGAGAGTTTTGTTTAAGTCCATTATTTCTTTATTAATTTTCTGTTTGGAGGATCTGTCTCATGCTGTCAGTGGGGTGTTAAAATGTCCAGTGATTATGGAGTTTCTGTTAATCAGTTTACTTAGCACCAGTAAGGATTGCTTTATGAATCTGGGTGCACCTAAGGTGAGTGCATATATATTTAAAATTGTTATCTCTTCTTCTTGAACTGTGCCCTTCATCATTATTAATAAGTGACCCTCTTTGTCTTTTCACTACTTTGTTGGTTTAAAAACTAAATCATCCTGAAATTAGAACTGCCACACCAGCCTTCTTTTTGGGCTTCCACTTGCTTGGAATACTAATCTCCACACTTTTACTTTTAGTCCTTGCAGGTTAGATGTGTTTCCTGAAGACAGCATCTACTTGCCTGTTATTTCCTTATCCATTCAGCCAGCCTATGTCTCTGGAGTGGAGAGTTTACACCATTCACATTTATTGAGATAACTGATAGGTGGGGCAGATTTCTGTTCATTATGTGGGGTTGATCTTTGTTGCTTTGTTTTCTCTCTTGAGCCATTATAGTGTCTGGGCTTTGATCTTTAGCTTGAGTAGATTACATTCTGTGAGTGTTTATTGTGCTGATCGTGGTAACACTGTTTTGAGTACTTCTTGAAAGGGCTGGTCTTGTCTTGATGAATTCCCTCAGTCTTTGTTATCTGAGAATGTCTTGATTTCTCCTTATATACAAAACTTAGTTTTGCAGGAATAAGTATCTAGGCTGGGCATTGTTCTGTTTTCAGGAGAGTGTAGAATGGGGGCCCAGTCCCTCCTTGCTTGTAAAGTCTCATTAGAGAAGTCTGGTGTTACTCGGATTGGCTTTCTGTTGTACATTACTTGCTTCTTTTGTCTTATAGCTCTTAGAAGGGCTCTTTAGTATTATTGGTCAGTCTGATGACTGCATGTTTGAACGTCTTCCTGTTTGCATTGAATCTCCAGGGGTCCTTTGAGCTTCTGAACTGTATTATCGAGATTTTGAGCAAGGCCTGGGAATTTCCTCTATTATATCTTCAAACTGCTTTGTCCAACCCTTGAGTGTTGTCTTCTTCCCCTTCTGGTAACCCTATGACCCTCACATTAGGTTTCTTCACATAATCCCACATCTCTTGTAGGCTTTGCTCTTTTCTCTTGTTTCTCTGCTCTATCTCTGTGACTGATTTATTTAATTGGAGGGTGTTATCTTCAATCCCTGAGATTCTTTCTTCTTTTTGCTCTACCCTGTTCTTGAGACTTTCCACTGTATTTTGTAGTTCCCTGAATTGATTCTTCATTTTCAGGTTCGATTAAACTTTCTTTATTGTGTCGATTTTCTTTAGTGAACTTTTGTTCCAGGTCCTGGAGCTTTTTGGGTTCTTTGTGTTGTTATTGAGTTGTTCTTGCAGGTTGTGAATTTTCTATGATCCACATTCGAAATTGTGTTGTGTTGGTGTCCATTTCTAGGGGGCTGATGCTCCTCTTTGGGGGTTTGTTTTCCGTTTGGTTCTTCCTATTTCTGGAGTTCCTTCACTGATTTCTTCCCATGTCGATCAGTTGTTGTTTCTTTCTTTTAGGTTTTTGTTTGGGTATTCACACGCCTTGTTTAGTTTCTGATCCAGTAGGTGGTGTCTGTGGGTGAGATTCAACCACTCCCTGTATAATGAGTCAGTAGGTGCCGTGAAAAGGGTATGCAGGATGCCCTCCCTGTCAGTAGGTGGTGCTTGCTTGGAGGAACAGGCTATGCTGTTGTTTTTGTGTCCTGTTATCAGCTCTTGTTCCTGTAGGGAGGCACTCTAGTGCCTCAGGTGGTCGGTGGGACTCTGGGACTTCCAGATGTGTCCTTTTCTCCCCCTCAGTGAAGGCTGGTCTAGGAGAGTGGGCGGAGCTGGGTTGGGTAAGCCTGCCCTCAGGCACCACCAATCCTTTAGCAGGGGTCAAAGTTCTGTTCTCTGCTTCCAGGAAAAGCTGTCAGGGCGGGGCTGGAATGGCCCTGCTTAGCCAGAAAGTCTGCGTGTGGGGTGGGGCTGTCTGAGACCCGCAGTCTGGAGTGGGCCTCGCTTCTTTCCACCCTCCCCAATTCCGCAGCTACTCCTGGGCCTCTGCCAGCAGGCCCACGCCACCAGGCCTCCACTGGCTGTGATGCTGGCGGAGAGCCTCCCTGCGCAGGAACGCTACCTTTGCTGGGCTCATGGCCTCCCTTTGGTAGGAGGTTGCCCTCTATGATGCTGATCTGCCCCTGAAGGCACACACACCTCAGTTGGCTGTTTGCGTATGTCCCTTCTGTGTCCTGGGTAATGCGAGACCTGGGTGCTGGGGACTAGTCTGGAGGTCTGACCTCTGGGCCCCAGAGTTCAAACTATATCCCCACCAGGGAGAGGAGTGCCGGTCCCAATTCACCCACAGGGAGCCTAAGCTGGGTCTATGTCTCTCGGCCTCAGGGTTTGCCCCATTTTCCTGGGAACACCGTGCCAGCAGCACCTGGGAGGGCTGGCGGGGAGGGAGCTCACAGTCTGAGTTCCCCTTAATCAGCTGTAGGGCCCCAAAAGGAACGTCCCATTCTCTGGAGGTGCCTCCGGCTAGTGGCTATATTGTCTCTCTGGGCAGCCGCGGGTAGGGTCTGTGGGGGGGAGAGTGAGGCAATATGGCGCCTGCCCCGCAGCTTGGGTCTGTGCACACGGAGGTGCCCAGAGGGATTTGGGAGTCTGGTGCTGCGTCCGCTACTGGCTTACCGCTCGCTGGCGGCGGCCGTCGCTGGGCTGGTGTCTGCAGGTGTCTCCACCTGTTGGGGAGCCCACCAGCAGTCCCAGATGTAGGGGAGGGGAAACAGCATATCCACCTACCCTTCCTGCTGGTCTCCGGGCTGCTCTGGTGGTCTGAGCTTCCAGTTCTCCTCCGCAACCTCCTCCCGTGGAATCTCCCATGGTCTCAGGTACCCCTCCTTCTGACCCTTGTCCGATCTATGCTTGTCTTCTTGCTTCTTTCTTCTAATTTCTGCTAGAATCTGTCTTTTCTGCAGAGACACTCTGTCTGGCGGTGTTTCTTGTCTGCCATCTTAATTCCCCTCCTCCTACTTCATTTTCAAGAGGATCACTTTGCTGTGCTGAGAAGAGATGCCAGAGAAGTGAGACAAGGAAGCCAGCAGTTGCCGTCATTCAGAAGAGAGGTGACGGTGGCTTGGATCACAGTAGAAGCAACAAGAATGTCATGAAATGGTCATATTCTGGATATGCATTGAAGACAGAGCCAAAATAAGTTTTTAATGGCTCAGTTATAGGGGTATGAAAGAAAGTCATAATTAAAAATGACTCCCCAGGTTTTTGGCTTGAGAAACTAGAACAATGTTCCATTAACTGAGATAAGGGAAGTTGGGCAGAGTAAGGAACTAGATTTTAGACATGTTAGCTTTGAGCTCTCTTAGATATCAACATCTAAGTTATGAGGAAGTTAAAATATGTTTCTATTTTGTGTTTCAGCACTCAACAGCTCATCATTTACTTTATGAGAACCCATTTCTCATCATGCAAAGAATGTACCTTCTCTGATTATTATACTGTAGGATCATAAAACAGAAGCATTGTGGGAGGACCCGCATTGTCAAAATTCCTCAAAGCTCTTATCCCCAGACAACTCTCTATATTCTTGGTTGATTTCTTATTTCCCATTTTATTTATCTCCTCTTTCTCACAGTGAGACCCTGAAGTACTGGATTTGGAGGGTTTTATTGCAAAACACTGAAGTGGTCTCATTTTAAAGGAGCAGCGTGTAAAATCACTCTTAAGCCCAATTAATTGCACAGGATGGAAATTGTTCTTTTCAAAGTCATTTAGCCAATCTTTAGGAAGAAATTCTTGTAGCATTGCTATCTGTCACAAATTTTTACTAATTTTTAGAACAGGCTTTTTAAAACATTCATCTTTCATTTTAGCTTCTAAATTATTAAATATTCTAAAGCCTATAACAACTTCAATTTATGCTTTAGGTGACCAGATGAAAGAAGAAAATGAAAGGCATGAAGAAAAGTCTTACAGAAGAATATCTATACCTGGACTTTTCTCACCAAACAGAAGGATGTATTTTTCCTCTTCATACATCTGTAACTTTATTTTTATTGTCATACTGTGACTGTAAAATCTTTAAAGTTTGCTTAGTTCTCACCAAAGAAAGTAGAAACAGTTCATTACTAAGAGATGTACTGTCCCAGGATATTAAAATACAAATTATTTCAAGGCAAGAACTTCCACCAATAGTCCAGAATTGCTGTTTACCTGCCGTAGTAGAACAACCAGACAATTTTTGTAGAGCAGGACTTGCTGTGGTACTAAGACACATAATCCAGAAGTCATCTGAAGGAGACCCCTCAAAGAAGGGAATTTTAGAACTTCTGGGTTTTAAAAAGACTTGCTTGAAAGCCTGTGCCGAAGTAAGTATAATGTCTCTTTCTCTTCTGTTACTTAAAGTGACAAAATGATAACATATTTATGCGCTTGAACATATGTCATAACTTCTTGTTAGAAATAAGTTTTTAAACAAATATTCATTTATTTAAAAAATCACAGTAACTTACAAAATAGTTAAACTTGTTCTTCATGTATGTCAATATTTCAGTGCAGTACTGAAAAATGAAAATTTAAGATTTAATTTATGAAGTCTGGAGACATTGTTTTTAGAGAAGAACTTCCTTTTTTAATCCTTTAATCACATGGAGGATTTTTAAAGGCAATGGCAGCACTTTGGAAGCCCTGCTTTTTTGGAGGGTGGAGCAGGGAAAGTACATTTTAAAAGCTTTGGTAAGTAATGATTTATTCAGTAAAAGGAGGATATGGGAATGCTAAACCTTCCTTGCTTAAATGTTTTTACCCCTGAAGCAGCGTGGTGTGTCTCGATACAGCATAAAAGCCCAGCCCAGCAGTGGTTAGCCCGACTTACCTCCCAATAAGACAGTTATTTTTCCTCAAGCCCTGCTGAAAGTAAAGAATCCTTTCATTTCTAATTTTGTTTTTGTTTTGTAGGTTAGTCAGTGGACCAGGCTATGTGAACTCACCATTCCTTTGGTCATTGAGAATTTTCTCAGAGAGTCTTCTAAGCAGGCCCCAGCTATCCCTGTGGAAATACTGCAGCTGGAGAAAAAGCTCAGTGAGCCAGTGAGAGTCCATAACGATGACAAACTCCGCAGGCAGAAGCTGAAGCAGCAGAAGGCTGCCGGAGCGGGACTACCCCTTACTAAGGGAAAAGCCAAGAGCAAGGTCCCCACGAAGGAAACATCTGAGGATGTGGACTCTTCACCCAAGAGTCTGGAACTGAAGGTGGCATTCTCGAAGCTCACAGTACAGGAGAAAGCAGCAACTACCCACAGGGAGCCTTCTCACATCCGAAAAGCAAAAGCCTCTGACCTTCCACCTCTGGAGCACGTGTTTGCAGAAGGGCTTTACTTCACCTTGACAGACCTTGTGCTCTTGCCCTGTATCCATTACTTTCTGGTAAGGTTTGATCTGAAGTATGTACATGGCCGTGAGTTTCAGTCGGTGGAGTTGCCTGGACTTGAATTCCAGTTCCACATCTTACTGTCATTTTGGTCCTGGGCAAGTTATTAATATCTATCTCCATTTTCTTATCTGTGAAATGGAGATAATAGTAGTACCTAGATTAATACGATCCATGGGAGAAAAAAATGAAAACTTGTGTGAAGTGTGGGGAACAGTACTTGGCACATAGTAAGCCGCTCAATGAATGTTAATAATTATTATGACTTTTAATTCTGTGTTGCTTAAATGTTAGTAGTAATTGTTATGTTTATTAATTTCTAATCGTCATGATTACCTCCTAATATTAGAGGATCCAAAATAAAAATATATATACAAAAAAACTAAAAACTAAAAATATCTTGTCTACTATATTTTATAATTACTCATCACTTAAAATACTAATCTGATTATGTTGGACATTGTCAAATCAGAAATATTTTATTGTCATCTATATGCTTCTCTCTATAAGATTAAAGTAGCTGCTATGCTACTTTAACTGTGCTAAACTGTGGGAAAATTAGATGGAAAGTTTTCTTTCTGAGTAGGGGAATGCTTTTGAGAATGAGAGAGAGAGAAAAGTAGGAATAAAGAACAGAGTGAAAATAATACCAGAATGAACACAGGAAGCTATTGGTCTCTGCAGCCTTCCACTGGTTTTCAAGAGCCGTATTTTTCTTGAAGCATTTACCCTTTTCCCTACTAAAGAATCAGATACCAGATTTCATTCCCATTATATATCACCAACATTTTGGGTATCTCTACTGACAGACGAGAAAAGACTTCTAATGAAAAATCTATAAATTAATCAGTATTGATCAATTGTCATTTTTTTAAAGAATAGTTCTCTTAGGCCAGGCGCGGTGGCTCACGCCTGTAATCCTAGCTCTCTGGGAGGCCGAGGCGGGCGGACCGCTCGAGGTCAGGAGTTCGAAACCAGCCTGAGCAAGAGTGAGACCCCATCTCTACTATAAATAGAAAGAAATTAATTGGCCATCTAATATATATAGAAAAAATTAGCCGAGCATGGTGGCGCATGCCTGTAGTCCCAGCTACTTGAGAGGCTGAGGCAGCAGGCTTGCTTGAGCCCAGGAGATTGAGGTTGCTGTGAGCTAGGCAGATGCCATGGCACTCACTCTAGCCTGGGTGACAAAGTGAGACTCTGTCTCAAAAAAAAAAAAAAAAAAAAGAACAGTTCTCTTTTCCTCTAAATTGAAGCAAATCCAAAGATTGGCAACCAAAATAACTTCAGAACTAAAACAATGTAAAAAAAAAAAAAAAAGAGAGATTCAGGAATTGTTTAGATATTCATTAATATTTTAAATGTCATTTGTCCTGTGTATTCATAGTGTCCATGGAGCTGAGTGGGGAGAAGACAATAGATATTTTTTCCTTCCTAGTAAAATAATTTCTATATTTTCTTGAATAAACTGAACACTGAATGAACTAAAACAACTGCCTCTTTACCCAAGATAAAGGAAAAGACTAACAGAAATGACTTGAGGCTTTGGCAAAGAGAAATGAATTCTTGAAAGAAAATGTGTAGATACAGGAAAAACACAAAAGAACAAAGAAAAATATTTTGAGAATTGGTTTGTATATTAAATGTCAAAAAAGAATTTAATAATAGAATACATGAAATAGATAAGATATTTTAGTGAATATATAGTTCATTTGTAATAATTTCTATATTTCTATCCCTGACTCCCACCCCCATTACTCACTTCAGTATTTAGAGCAGTCATTTGATATATTGTGAAATACTTGGTCTTCATGATTTCTCTGAATAACTGTGTTTGTTTCTAATTTCATAAGGATTGAATCAAAGTGGCACAACCTCACATTCATTGGAGAAATTTAATGAAAGTATACTATCTATGTCAAGCACTGGTGTGGCACTAGGATTACAGTGATGAGCAAGACAGATACAGTCCTAGCTCTCAGGGAGTTAACGTTTTAGTAGGGGAAGATAGAAATAAAAAAGTAAACAAATAAATAATACTTCTATAAAGTAATGGTAAGTGCTGCCAAGAAAATAAAACAAAGTGATAAAGGCTTGTCGGACCTTCCCAGTTGAGGAGTTGAGGGTTAGAAAAAAAACAAAAAAGTGATAAAAAGACCTGAGTCTTTTGTTGATAGCAAACTCAACAAAACAGATAGACAAGTGGATTCACCTGCATTAAGGTGAGTGTAAGTCGTCCAGATAGCCCTAACTAAAAAGTTAGCTGATTTGCATTTGATTTTAGCTGAATTTAAATACCATTTGCCTGATTAGGATTAATTGAGGCCAAAGTATTCCTAGTAGAGAAGGCTTTTTCTTCCTCAAGTCAGGAGGACATCTGCCTTACTACAGGAAGTAATCTACGTGATACTACTGAGGAGCTTTGTTTTTGTCTCAGTTTATAATAGGGGAAAACTTGTATACTTGGCCTTATGTGTTTTATGTATTCTATTATTAAATTCTTTTTTGATATTTAATATACAAACCAATTCTCAAAATATTTTCCTTTGTTCTTTTGTGTTTTTCCTGTATCTACACATTTTCTTTCAGGAATTCATTTCTCTTTGCCAAAGCCTCAAGTCATTTCTGTTAGTCTTTTCCTTTATCTTGGGTAAAGAGGCAGTTGTTTAGTTCATTCAGTGGCTATGTTGCTAAGCCTTTGTGCTTACTTTAAGGTGCATTGAGGTGAAGGGAGTGGCAGTTCCAGTGATCAGAATCAGGATCAAGTTCATGATCAGTAATCAAGGTCAAGCTACTAGGTTTGGATCAGAAGCATAAAACTGTACCTAGGGATGGGATACTGAGACACAGGAATAAGGTCAGGACATAAAAGAACAGCCAATTTTGCTAAGTCAAGGTTTGGATTACCAGAGGTCAAAATTAGAAGAACCAGGGAAAATACCCAGTTATGCTGAACAAAATAAAGCCAAAGATGCAAAGCAAGAGCAGGTATATTACCTGAGATTTGAGGTATAAACCTGCTTCAAGCTTTTCCTTTTCAGCAGATACTGTGTTACTTACAAAATTAGCCCCTGGTGGCCCCGCTCCTCTTCATGGAATGGGCCTGACAATACCCTCTCCTTGGAAAAATTTTAAAAATAGATTTAAAATGAATAAATTAAAATCTATACTTTTAATGTTTTCTTCCATTTGCTTCTTTTGCTATACTCTTCTAGTAGATAGTATAGCAACCATTTGGGAGAAGTAGTAATGAATAGCGATACCAGGGCAAAATCCTACTCCAAAACCAGAAAATTGTATAGTTATTTTTCAGTTGCTACTAGTAAACAGGTGCATTTTCATAGAACTATTTAAAAGATTATTCTACTCCCATGAAACAGAGGGATTACCATTTTATAAATTCTTTTCATAATTTGAATACTTATTTAATTTTCTACCTTTTAACTTCTAATGCTTTGAATTGAGCTTTTAAAAAAACATATATATCTTTATTGTCTAAAGTAAAATTATTCCTCTTTTAGAACTTTATTTTTGAGCACAAATAAATACCTCTTGTAGTGTCCCCATTAACATAACATTGGAAACACAACGGGGATCTCACTGTTTGATGGCATATTAAAAAATAATGGATGTCACTTATTTAGTGGTAAATTTGTATTTTCTATATCTTCTCCTATGCATTAAGTCCTTAAGAGTTTTCAGGTTTTTTTCTTCCTTTTATTTCATCATATTATGGTGGTACAAATATTGTTAGGGTTACAAATATTGCCCCTGCCCCCCTCCCTCCCCTAGAGGGAGATGTGCCAGAGGTTGGGAGATGACTAGAGATGTGCCAGAGGTGGGAGATCGACTGAGGTGTGCCAGAGGTTTGGGAGAGGACATAGAGGTAGCAGGAGGTTGGGGTGACACTATGAGTGTGCCAGAGGTTGGGAGAGACTGAGATGTGCCAGAGGTTGGGAAGACTAGAGGATGTGCCAGAGGTTGGGAGATGACTAGAGATGTGCCAGAGGTTGGGGGATGACTAGAGATGTGCCAGAGGTTGGGAGATGACTAGAGATGTGCCAGAGGTTGGGAGATGACTAGAGATGTGCCAGAGGTTGGGGGATGACTAGAGATGTGCCAGAGGTTGGGA